CTGAGCTCTTGGCCATTAGGCTCTGCTGCTCCAACCATGCAGACAGGTAGGGAAGTCAGAACCTCATCCACAGTCAGTGAGGTCGGTCTGCAGAGGGACCGTCACTCAGGCTCAGGTCTGTGGCAGACCTGGAGCCCTTCACTTGCTTCAGTCACAGTCAGCCATGTTGCCTGGGCGCTGGGCTTGGGTACTGTGTTTGTCGTCGTTCTGAAATGCCACGGTGGGAAGAAAATATTTGTTTTGGTGTCCTCTTGTAGCACTAACAATTTTCCGCTTGCATTTTTCTGTTGTCTGGCTCAGCTGAATAGCAGTTTTCATCTTTGCTCTGTGTTATCATGTACACAGAACCGCTGTTGGGAGCTAACAGTGTGCTTGCTTAGTCATTATTCTGGGAAGGGGTGCCAACCAGTCAATAGCCTTTATTTTTATATGACTCTGTACCCTGCGAATGCAGACATGATGCACTCACTCAGGCACCTGTCACTTCTGGAGGTAGGCAACGCAAAGGTGGCGGTGGCCCCTGGGGCCACGGCACCAGTCCTGACTTCTTTCTTTGTCAGTGCCCGGGAGCTGAGTTAGCCTCCCTGAGTGATTCACTGTGATACAGTCTGTGGCAGATTTTATGGTTTTTACCAACTCAAAGGAGAAAGCAAATAGCATGGGAGAGGTGCCAGGATCGGCAAAACTTCTTAGGAAGAGAGAAGAAAAGATAGATTCCAGGAAATGCAGGGGAACAGACTTGACAGTGAACCCAGCAAAGTCGTGGGGAGAATGAAAAATCTTTCTGGGAGCCCATGGTGGTTGTGAAGATCAGGCGGGCTCTGTGTGGGGTCTGCTGTGGGACCACTGTGCAGAGGTGGGGAGTTCTTAGGGTGGGGCTGAGCATGTGGTTAGTATCATCTGACCAGCTTAGAGGGTTGCCAGGCTAGTTGTGGGGGCTAGAAAATGGAACCAAGGCAAGATAGTTTGCAACCAGTGGAAGGAACTGGGAAGTCTTTGGCAATAGAGCTCTTGATGTCAAGAGCTCCAAGAGATGTCAAGATAAGTTCATGAGCTAGTCCACCCATTGATTCAACAAATTCTCGATGAACTGGAGTCGTATGCCAGGCACTGCTCTAGACCTTGAGGCTCTGTGCTGAGCAAGATACAGTTCCTGCCCTCAGGGAAGTTATGTTGTTGTGGGAAGTAGAGATGTAAAAAAAGATGCTGTGTGGTAGTGGTTAATACCATGAAGAAAATAAACACTTAAGTGGGCACAACCGAACAGGAAGGGATGGATTGAAATTAAGGCTTAAACATGAGGTTAATAAACAGAGAAATGGATTGATCTGAGTTCTGAGAATGTCCTAACTCTGCAGGCATGCAGTTTTCTAGAGCAAACAAGAGCAAATGAATCTTGTTTTCTTGGGAGTGGAGGGGGCAGGTAGGAAGACCCTTGATCAGGGACTTGTAACTGTGCGATGAATCTTGATTGCAGCGAGGTGCTTGATAAAGGCTGTCTTGGAGAAGTCTAGATGGGCCGATAGTGACTGGATTGATTTATTCCCCCAAAGTGTTGAGCCAGGATTACTGTCAGGCTGCGGGGAGGGTATCCGGCAGTGTCTCCAAGGCTTGGCCCTGGGCTTGTTCCCTTCAACATTTCTATCCATAAATTGGCGGAAGACCCAAAAGACGTGCTCATCAGACATGCAGCTGAAATGGAGCTGTCAGGGACAGCTAATGCCATGGATGACAGACCCAGGATTCACCGCGATGATCCTCCACAGGCTGGAGTGATGGAATGAAACCAGCAATGGCCCTGATCACACTCAGATTGGGGAACAAAGCCCAGCCATGGAGTAGGAGTCCTTGCTGGATAACTGACCCTGGAAAGGAAGCCGGATGCGGTAGGAGGAGGCAGCAAAGGCAGCCAGACCCACTGGCATCCCCACCCTTTCTAGTTGACAAGGTCCTTGGCCTCTTTCAGGCTTAATTTTTCCCCTTCATAAAGTGGGGATGATGCTGTTTATTGCCCAGGAATGTGGAGAGGATTAAATTCAAGCATGTATGTGGATGCCTGGCTTCCTGTCTGTTCTGTAGTGGATTTATGACAGACGCAAGGGAAATAGGGGTTTGTGGAGGCCCATGGGAAGCCTCGGTGCCCGGGGGCAGCCTTTCAGGGGTACGTGGAAGGCCCACAGCCAGAGTGGAGCCTTTCAGGGGTACATGGAGGGCCCACAGCAGAGTGGGTCTTCCATTCTTGGCACTGTGCTGTCCCTTCTGGGGATGCCAGCTTCCTAAGAGGGCCGTGACCTCTGTGATGTATCCAGAGTAAGGATAGGGGTTCCTACTCAGTTTCTGCCTGTATTCCAAGTTGGGGAGAGGTAGGAGTGTCTTATCAGGTGCTGAGAAAGGACCATCTGTGGGTGGGTTTTGATTCAGGGACCCCAAGGTCCTGAGGGGACCTTTGAATCTGCCTCGACTTCTCCTTAGAGTTGGCCTTAAGTAAGTGGTGAGACTTTTTTCTATGTGTTTCTATGTCTAACACCTGTATTAAAAAAAAAAAAAAAACAGCCAAAAGTAGAGCAAATAGCACGTGATGAACCCATGTACCTATCAGTCACCCAGTTTTAGTGATGGCCAATGTGTGGCCATCTTGTTTCATCTATGACCCTGCCATCTTCCCCTCCAACCCTGCTGGATTAAGTTTAAAGCGAATCTTAGACATAATTTTATCTGTAAACACTTTGTATGTATCTCTAAGAGATAAGGACTCAGTTTTTTTTTTTTAAGCATAAACCACAATACCATTATCACAATGTTTTAAAATTGATATCATTGTAGTAGGTCTTTCTAGAAAATCTATTGGTATATAGCTTGCTTTGTAGAGGGGAGAGTCAAAGAGTGGTCCTTTAAATGTCTGGTGTCTGTGACTCGGGACTCACCTGTTCCCTTTGAGGATGATGATGAAGAAGAAGAAGGGGGTCTAAAACCCAGATTGGTGGCCTCTTTTATTCTGATTGTTCCCAGGGACACAGCAGTGAGAGTGGGGCCTATTTATAGACAAAGTCTAGACATGGGACGGAGGAAAGGAAAAGAATGGGAGAGGGCAGAGAGGAGGGGGGGAGAGAGCATGGAAGGATCAAGAAAGCCTGAATGGAAGATGGCCCAGCCTCCCTGCAGCCACACCACCTTCCTGAGCTCCCAGGACCCTCCCACTGCGGCCAGCACCGGGCACCTCACCACGTTCTCAGACCTATGCCATTACTGTCGGTACAGGTGTCACGCCCGTGCTACAGGGGAGGCCTGGAGGTTCTGAGCTCTGGCATGAAATAGGCACTAGCACCCTATTGAGACCCAGACCCGTTTGGCCAGATTCTGCTTTTTCCTGGCACCTCTCTCTGCTTCTAAGTCTGCTGAGGCCGCGTGCGCAGCTGGTGACCAGGGGGCATGGCTGTCTCGGTTGTTAGAATAGTGAGGCACTCCCGTATCTTCAGCTCTTCCCGATGTTTCCCATTTACCCTGGCCACCCAGCGACCTTGGTACACCCCCCGGGCCTCATCAGGACCTGGCAACAAAGGGGGTAATACCTGGCACAGAGGAAGCCTCTGGGACTGTAGCCTATGTCCATTCTGATTGGCTGTCAAATGCAGTGACTTTCCCCCTGGTTCTGTGTGTGGGAACATGTGAGACATTTTGTGCCTGCACGTGTGTATGCATCAAATACACCCACACGTGCGTGCATTTGCTCTTGTACACAGGTGAGCATGCATGTGCTCATATACAAAGAGCATTACCAGGAAGCCACATCCCTGCTGGGAACATTCATAGTCCCTGTTTGTGGGACTCACTGAGCCTTTGGGATGAACTGTGAGAGTAGGGGTGTGCTCCAGATGTCCCCATTGGCAGAGCTCCATTCATGAGGCATTTTCATTCCCACCCCCCTCCCCATTGCCCCTTCATTGTCTTCACCACCCTCTCCCAGGAGAGAGCACTGAGAAGTTTTCAGAATGCTCTTTCTAGAGCACCTCATCGACTTCTTGTGGGAGCCCACCAAATATGGATAGCAGATGGTTTTAAGCTAGGTAGTCATGGTCCTTCTGGGAGTGCCAGGGAGGAAGATGCCCCCTTGCCAAAGATGCTAGTGCGGCAGGCTGGGCCACAAGCCAGGCCAACAGGATTGCCATCCTGTTGTGTGAGGTGCAGGTAGGGGCCAGTGTGTAGGTACAGGGAGATGCATGTGAATCAGTGCACGGACCAAGCAACTGCAGCTGCCCACGGGAAGTTGGGCTCAGCCCAGAGACTGTGATCTGATTGGAGGGCCATGCCAACGGGGGGGGGACATGGGTAGCCACGGGGAAGTGGTATGGACTCCAGGATCCAGAGCCCAACCAAGCTGACACAGGTGTAGACACCCTCGTGTCACCCTTACTCTGTGCCAGACGCTGTCCACGGTGCTTTGTACATCTATGATATTCCTGTTAACCAGATGAGGAGACAGGGTGTCAAGATGCTAAGCAACCTACCCAAGGTCCCAGCGGGGAAGTGAGGGAGGCAGGGCGTGAGTCCAGCTGTCCACTCCACAGTCCCTTCCCTCCCCCTGCCACGGGGCAGTGAGTCTTGGGCTTCCTGGCGCTCAGCCCCAGCACTCTGGCCTCTACGCTCAGAGCTGTCGGCTCACTCCTGACCCCTGTGCAGCTGGTCTTTTCTTGTTTCAGGTCCTGGGCACAACCGAACAGGAAGGGCTGGATTGAAATTAAGGCTCAGCTCACTCAGCAAGACATAGTGTCTGGAGAGGACCCAGGTGTCCCGATTCCCAGAACTGTGCTCTCGGTGCTGGCATGTGTAGAAACCTCTTGGGAACCCACTGTTTGTCCATTTTCTGTCTTGAGAAAGCAGTAGGTTTCTTTGGCCTGGAGACGTGTTTTCTTCCTCCCCTTTCCCTGGGGCCTGGGCCCTGCCACGGAGCCACCCCTAGTGAGCTGGCACTAAAGCTGCCTGTCTTTCTGACCCGTTTGCAGAGCTCTGGAGCTCAGCCGTGATAAAGATGAGATCTCCCTGTTGGTGGAGCAGGAGTTCTTAAGCCTGACCAAAGAGCACCTCATTTTGGTCACAGAGAGCTCGGAGGAGCTGGAGGCCCCCGGCACCTCTCTCGAGGGACCCAGACAGCTGGCTCCCTGCCTTCTCATACCTCCTCCGGTGGCGGACAGCAGTGAGTACCCGGGGACCTCCATCATTGCTGGTGATACGCTTCTTGAGCCGAAGGTGGCCATGTCTGTCATCAGCAGCCGGCCGGACTGTGATTCTGTCATGTCTACTGTCACGGGAATTCTGCGTGCTGCTAAGGTCAAGAGTGTCAAGGGGACAGAAGATGGGGGCCACAGCCTGGGTGCCTCTAACTCAGAGACCGGCAAGCTCCTGGCTCAGTTCCCATTCAAGTCCACAGAAACGTCCAAGGCTCCTGACAACAAGATGGTGTTGGAGGAGACAAGGGTCATCAAGGACTTCTTGCAGAACAGCATGTTCGGTGGCCCAGGACCCAGGGAGCCCATGGGGCTGGGCCCATTCCTACTGCTACCGCCTCCTCCTCTGTCTGCACCTCCTGAGAAGCTCCCTGAGCTCCCTCCTCAGAAGAGGCAGCTCCCAGTGTTTGCGAAGATCTGCTCCAAGCCCGAGGCTGACTCTGCTATGGAGGGGCACCTCTTGATGGGTGAGTGGGCCTGGGAGCAGGGCCAGTAGATGAGCCTGCAGGGAGGGACTTACCAGCAAGCCAATCAGGGTTACAGCAGGTGCAGATGGCATCTCTGTGCAGAGTGGGGGGCAGTGGTCTCTCTGGTGGGTGTGGGCCCCAAGTGCAGCCTGCTTTTTGCACCCACAGGCCCCCTCTGCTGGAGGCCCGTGTATGGGGCACAGCTTGTCTAAGCAAACGTGGTGACCTTGATCCCAGCGCATTTTGAGGGGAGATAGAGGCACATTTGGTAACGGGCTCATTTTTTGAATCCAGGTACTCAAAGTACGTTGAGGGAAGCGTTTACCCCAGCTGTAACTGCAGCATGGGGACCTTAAGCCAGATAGGAGGGAAATTTGATTAGCAGACAGTGTCATCTGGCTTCCGATAAAGGCACCTGTTCTGACCATGAGGACTGGTCCTCGCTCTGGGCCCTGGGAGTGAATGTGCAAACCTTCCACGTTTAGTTCAGACTCTTGGCTCTGGACTTGTTCCCTGGGACTGTTCCCCCCCATCCCACTCCCAGGTTCTGCATCTTGTGCCCCTTCTGATCCAGCCACTCAGACTGGACGGTTCCAAGGCAGACTGATGGCAGTGGCATCTGCCCACAGCCAGCAGTTACTAGGAGAGTTGACCATACACCTGTCAACCAAAAGAAAAATTACCCCCGGGCTGTGAGCGTGGATGGATACCTGAGATCCCTGTGTTGGGAAGGCTCAGATCCCTCTCCTTAAGAAAATAAGTGCGTGTTCTGTGTTCTGGAGCATTATCGGAAGGCTGAGAAATCAGAGCTGGGGACAGCAAGCTGGACTCTGGGTCCTAGGAAGAGTCTCTGGGAGCCAGTGGCCTCTTTGGAGCCATGGGCTGTGCGTGTGAGGGTGGAGCCCTACCCGGAGGGTGGGACTTTCCTGCCATCTCCTTCTCCAGAAAGGATGTATGGATAGCTCCCTGACGGATGGGGCCGCTGGGTTGGAGGTATTCCTTTCCTACCCGCCGTGCCCGCTACCTGTGTGTGTCTGTGTGCCAAAGAGAACTTTACAGATGTGAGTATGCTTGCTAGAAAAAATGCGGGTGTGAGTGCATCTGAATGTGTGTGTCTTGTGTGCATAGTTGTGTACGTGTGAGTGAGGCGGAGGAATGACAGGCAGGAGTGTGTGTGTATGTGTGTCTGTCTGTGTACACAGATGTTAGAAGAGGGAGCTTTGGAGCTGAGTGAGTGGCAAGTGTGTTCAAGGCGATGGGAGGTGGGTGAGAGACTGCAGGTGTGTGGGTCTCTGGGGAAAGGGCTATTATTAGTGGGTACCGTTATTTCAGCACACTGGCTGGGGGCTAAACTTGGCAACCAGAGAAACTCTTGGAAGAGACTCTAGGGACATGTTTTGCTAAAAATGTCATTTTCTCCTAAATTGGCTCAGACTATAGCACTCTTCCCTTGGCTGGGATGGCACTAGGAGGGCAGGCCCAGTTCTGTCCACACTCAGCCACAGGCCACTGGACTGTGGTGGGGGCAAGAGCTGGTAGGATCAGATCCACTCTCAACAGGTGACACGGGGCTCAGGTCCTCCGATCCAGCCACTATGGGAACGATCTGAGGGCACCTGCTGTTTGTCCAGGGCCGTTTCCCAGCCAAGCTCCAGGGAGACCTGCAAAACCTCCAGGTTGGGGTAGGAGTGGGGAGCACTACTCCAACCAGACAATGCCTTAAAAACAAACAAACCCCCATGTATATAATTTCAACCATAGTTAATTTTGTTTGAAGAATGAGTTCCTTTTGCTCAAAAGGAAATACGGGTGTGGAGGGTTCCACAATGGTCCAGGCAGCATCCTCATGCTGGCAGTCCACTCAGTCTATTTGGCAGGAGACCTGAGCCTGGCCCCATCCCCATGCAGGGACTCATCGTGTCTCCCTGACGCCCTCTCCCGCAGTGCCACCTTTCCAGACTCCTGCATGCAAGGCCTCACTGAAGGCCCACTTCCTTCCGGAAACCCTCTGACCGTCTCAGATAGAAGCCGTCTCAGCCACCCTCTTCTCCCACTGTGTCCCTCTGTCACCTCACGGTCCCCATCTGTCTTGTCCTGGAGCTATTTCTGGGTCTGTCTCTCTCTCCCTCCTTGTTGTGAGCTCCTGCAGGGCTGAGTCTAGCTCTGACTCATCACAGTGTCCTCAGGACTCAGGTCAGGGCCCGACACTGACGGGCGGGCTGCATTGCCCATGAGCGAGCAGCACAGCAGGAGCAGAGTCCATGGTGAGGGGCTGGACCTCGGTGCAGACCATGTGCTCTGCAGGAATGTGTGTCTCCCCCACTAAGCCAGGGGCCCCCTGAAGGCAGCTTTGTATCCAGGGTCGGCACTGTGGATGAATAGAGTGAAGAGAGGGAAAAAAAGAGGGAGTGAGGAAAGAAAAAAGATAGGAATGAAAGGAGGGAAAAAGGAAGGAAGGGGAAGGAGGAAAATAAAAGAAGAGAAGAAAAGAAAGGTAATTGGGAAGAAAGAAGTTTGGATGGAAGAAAGGGAGAATGGATGGATGGAAGGGAGGAAGGTACAAATGGAGGGTGGATGGATCCATGTATGCATGCATGAGAGGGGAAGATTGGAATGGGCAATGGTCCACAAAGGCTCCAGGGAGAAGAGTAGGACTGGGTTGGGCTGGCAGAAAGGCCCCAGAGTGCTTTGAGGAGTCCCAGGTGTGTGCTAGGGAGGACCTGTCACTTTGTCCACAAGAGGGTTCTCCCAGCATCCAGCACTTGGCCTTCCAGAGCCATTGACCCAGTTTCTCTCCTGCTGTAGAATGGAACCCTAGCACCAAGGATCCAACCAAGGGTCGAGAGAGCCTCTTTCTCAGTCAGTGGCCCCAGAGCCAGAAGGACACCGGTGGTGAGGAGAGTTGCAGTGACCCAATAGGCTCCATGTCCATGGCCCTGCCATCCACGAAGTCTGTATGGCCAGCCGAGAAGAACCTGCTCTATGAGTTTCTTGGGGCCACCAAAAACTCCAGTGGGCAGCTGAAGCTTCGCAGCAAAATGGAGGTGGACGGGCTGGAGCTGAAATGTGAGTTGAGCGTGCCCAGGGGAGCATCTATAGAGGAAGGGAATCCAGAAAGTCTGCCGCCAAATGGCTGCCTTTGAGTCACTGTCTTTCTCTGGGTGTCAGTTTCTAAACTCATAAAATGGGGAAATGACTTTCTCCTACGTCCCTTATCAGGAATACAACTACTAGGGAAATACAGGTGGCTTTCAGGGTCCCATGGGCATCATTAGTGGTCAATTTGAATACAACTCGGAGCCAGGGTGCCTCATATCCCCTCAAGTTGCTCAAGCCCAAGAAAAATCCATGCTTCCTATTATTTCTACATTGAGATTATTCGTGTCCCTGCTTTCTCTCCTTACAACTGTTTCAGTCAGAACTCCTTTCCCAAAAAAAGATGCCCATAAGGGGAAACTGAGGTCCCAGCTCTGACTCTGTGATAAGCTCACAGGACGTATTATAGAGGGAGAGAACCTAGGATTCATATCCCAGAACAACTCAACCAAATCTCATTCATTCAGACTAACTTGGGGTCGTACCATATTAGTTAAATAATGTTTGAGATTTTTAAAAAGTGATTCCAATATAGGTACAATAACCTATATAAGGTTCTCGGTGTTGCCAAGTACATGTCCCAGGGGACTGCTTTAATAACTTGGTAAGAATGAATTCCAACGACATAGCAATTGTTGGTATAAAACTGGATTTTTGTAAAGCACTTGAAAGAATTTGGTTTTGTACCTAGGTGAAATATAGCCATAGCAACCTGGGTTATTGTTTTTTCTTGCTAAACCATCTCCTTTACTAGTGAATGATGGAGAAAGAGCTCTAAGCCAGACCATGCTGGGATTCTCACTTCTTCCAAATTGGCCAGGTGTGTGCTAACGATGTTTTTCTGTAGTTGGAAAGTCACCCAAACTTTGAAGAACCCGAGTCTTGGAGCTTAAAAGACCTGACATCTGAGAGCGTTAATCCTGGGGTAGTCACGGTGCTGAGGGTGTCCTGGCCTCTTTCTTCTCCAATCCCTGAAATACTCTACCTCTCCCATGACTTGCAGTTAACCCACCTGTGACGGTGGCCGACAAGAACAACCTCAAGTACACAGGGAATGTATTCACCCCACGCTTTGCCACGGCCTGGACCTCAGCAACCTTGAACCAGCCACTGTGGCTCAACCTCAACTATCCACCTCCGCCCGTGTTCACAAATCACTCCACCTTCCCACAGTATCAGGTGAGTGAGTGGGTCTGGCTGTCCAGCTTCCAGCCACGGAGAAGCTGTGGCTTATGGGGAGCCTGATTCACAAAGAGGCTTTAGACTTGTTATTCTCTTCATTGCAGCCACATCAGACCAACTGTGTGGTGTATACACACACACACACACACACACACACTTCTAAATTTTCCATTGTCTGAATTCCAGTTCACTCTATGCGGTGTATTCCAGATCTGCTTTGCTAGTTTTGGCCGTTTAAGTTCTTAGACTCCCAGCATAGGATGATAGTGTGGTCCCAGCTTCCCACACACCTGCTAGTGCTTCCTTGTTACCTGGATGGTATGTGTCCTGTAGAGTACTCAGGACAGTCCGGGTTTAGGACTTTTGTCCCGGCATAATTATTAAAAGCACGCCCTTTCACTCTCAAGTGCCCTGGTGTGGACGCCAAATTGTATGGCCACCTTATTTCAACGACATCTGAGTGGTCTTAGCTTGTACCAGTGAAGGTGGCCTGGCATACACATTTTCAGTCTTGGGTTCATAGCCTAATAGCCTAAAGGGAATTAGTGACCAGAAACACATGTAGCAGGATTGGAAATTTTACTCACAGAACTTACTTATGCAGGAAAATGTAGTTTCTTTAGTTTGTCTATTTAAGTCAATTTCCCTTAAGAGTTGCTGCCCACTGGGCAGAAGGAAGAAAAAAATCAAATCAATGTCCACTCTGGTTTAAACTTGAGTTCAATTCAGTAGCTTAAATAGTCCCTTTAGGTAGTGCTCAGCTTCTCCAGGAAAGGCGCTCAATGTCTAGGATTACTTAGTCTTCTGGCCCCCGCCCCAGCACCTCTCCAGAGCAGCATGTGGGTGTACCGGAGGGACACGCCAACTTGTAACAGTCAGGTCCTTGGGAACCTGCTGCCCCAGCCTGGCCCAGCAAAGCATGGAGAGAGCAAATAGAGAAAACAAGACACCGGAAAGTCATCTTGTCCTCTCTCTGTGTCCCTTCCCCTTCCACTTCTCCTTGGCTCCCTGTGTCATTCCCTCTTTCATAGCAGAGCAGCAAGCCTTATGGCTTAGATGTCCCCTGAGCAGAAGGCAGATCTTCTCTGCCCCATATAAAGCCTCTCTGGGCCGGTGCACGAGCCTTAGCCCCAGAATCTTAAACAGAAGCTAAGCTTTCTTTCCCTTTGATGTTTTGCTTTCAAGCCTTTTTTGTTTGTTTGTTTGCTAAAGAGGACAAGGGCCTGCCCTCTCCTCCTGCAGGACAGAAAGCCTCACACTCGGGTCCCATATCTGGATCCTCCTTACATCAGTCTTGAGAGAAGTACCCGCATGCCCTCCTCCACTCACTGACCCCTTCTCCAGTACTCTTCACCCTTGCACGTTTGTGTTTGCTTGTTTACTCTTCAGGCATTTATTCACCGACTCACCGATGTGTTCATTTTTATTTATGTGTTTACTCATTCATTTAAGTAATTCAAAAACCTTTGCTCGACACTGACTAGAGGCCAAGCATTGGCCAGGCGAGGGCATTCGAAGATGACAGACAAACTCACAGTCCAGCACACGTCAGGAGCAAATCAAAGAACAGCCCTGTGTGCACACCCCACCTCTGAAAGAAGCAGTTGCATACTTTTATGCAGTGTAAACCGATCCACTCTAAGTGCACTCACAGCTCGGCATATAAAGCTGATTCATGATGGCTTGCTTTATAAACAGGAGATAGCAGCTCCTTGCTACGACACCCGCTTCTGACCTGACTTTTTGGAGGGAGTGAGATTCGAACGTACCTGAGCACAGAGACCCTTTGTTTTCAGAGATGCCAGTGTTTGCAGGGCAGGGCTGCTTCCACGGCTTCCTGGCCTCGGCTGGAGACGCTCACCCTCCCAGGTAGTGATGGGGAACAGTGCAGTTTACCTTCTTCCAACTCCTCGTGATTTCATAATGCCATCCAGCTTCAAGACAGCTCGTCAAGGGGCCTGATTTAATAAAAAGAAGGCAGGTTTTGGAATCGGCAGACTCGGGTTTAAAGGAATCTACTGCCTTCGAGCTGTGTGGCCTTGGGCAAGTTAAAGTTAGCTAAATGCTCTGAGCCCTGGTTTCCTCACTTGTGAAATGGGCTCATGATAATAAGCAGCAGCCACAGCAGCAGCATAGGCTTGACTCGCTTGTAAGGTTAATTGAGTTCATGGGTGAGAAAGAGCTTTGAAAAATCTAAAGTGTGATACAGATGTTGGTTTTTATTATTATTCAGCCCTGGTCTTCCTAGGAAACAGGGTCAGGGAACTCCAAAGACCTGGAGGAGACACAGGGAACGGTCTATCCTAGTCTCTTTTCCTGCTTGGCGTTAGGAATAAAGATGAGGTCCCAAAGCCAATTTGCTCAGAACCCTACTGTGGAGCGATGCGGAGCGATGCAGAGCCATGAAAGACTAAGTCCACAGCACCAAGGAACTCCAGAGTGCCCTGGGCTCCTTGGCATAAAGGAATGCTGCTCCCAGTTAAGGAGGGAGAGTGGAAAGAGGCCATGACCTCAAGCAAAGAAGAATGAGTGTTTATTTACCTTGCTTTCGATTTTCCAGAATTGCAAGTTGAACAACTAGCAACATCCTTAAAGTCAGATAGTGTGTTGCTCATGCTGATACATGTGGCCCTGTCTCTTGAAAATCCGTCCAGGATGGAGCAGGGAGGTGGCTGTTTGTCTTGCACAGGCCCGAGGGGTAGCCCGGCCCAGGCCGATGTGGAGGGAATGGTGGCCTGGGGGAGTCTGCTGTGTATAACAGAGCCGAGGCTGATGGGGAGGGAGACGGACACACAGAACATGGCCTCGGAGCTGGCTGCCGGCTGGAACAGCCCCATCTGTTCGACTTCTCTGTCCAGGGTCAGGCCACGGCCGGGGTCACAGAGACTAGGCTGTGGTCATGGTGGTGAAGGGGTTGCCCTGGCCGCAGGGTCTGGGATGCAGGTGAAGGGGCTGGTGGAGGCGGGAGGGGCCTGACCACGGTCTGTGTCAGTTGGTTGGGAGCAGAGACCAAGGAGAGGTTCTTAGAGGATGTGTAAACTTGGGGACCTGGAAGATAGGGCCCCATGTCAGGAATTCTGGAGCCTTTGATGAGGAGCTCATGGGCTCTGAGGAAGTCATCAAGGGTACAGTGTCAGCCACCAACACTTTGATAGTTGCCACAAGCTGAGCCCAGAATGAAGGCAACATCTCAGGGTTTGGAATCTTTGGGAAAGACATATTGGCCTGAGGGGTGCTTTGAGCAGCATCTGAGGAGATGAACTCTGAATTGGCAGGTAGAGGCAGTCTGAGATTAGAGGGGCCATGATCTGACGCCACCCACAGAAGCACATTCTGTGTGTGTGTGTGTGTGTGTGTGTGTGTGTGTGTGTGTGTGTGTATACATGGATGCCTGAGGCCACCCCAGACAGAGTTCGGAATAAAGATTCCACTTTCCATCAGGCTGAACTGCCAGACAGCTTCTCCAAGGGGTGGGGAGCAGTGAGAAATTCTAAAAATCCCTAACATTTGCAGAATCCTCACTATGTGCTGGACACTGTTCTAAGCCCTTTAGATGCACTAGCTCATTGATCTTCGGGCCAATCCTCATCATAAGGTACAGACTCAGGTGTACATGTGGCACATAGACACACAGCTGCAGGGACCCAAACTAATGCACCCGAAACACGCAGCTGCAGACACAAAGGGAAGCACACGTGTTGATGTGTTTAAATAAACACAGATGCAAACTGACACACACATACACACAGATGTACCTCGATACCTCCTGTCTTGGGGCAGGAATGGGGTTTGGGGAAAGGACAAAGGGTGAAATAGCAAAAAAAATAATGTAGCTACTTTCACAGGCTTTCCAGGTCCAAACACATATAATTTTGTAGACAAGGGAAAAGAGGCTCAGAGAAGTGAAGTGATTTTCCCAAAGTCACACAGCCACCAAGGGGCAGATCTGGGATTCAAGAGGCAATCAGGTTCCTCAAGGTCTTACCTTAAATACTCACCCCAAGGGCCATGAATCCTGCCCAAGAAGGGGCTTCCTGTGTGGGGTGAGTTGTGCTTGTTTGGCCTGCTGGCTGGACAGGACTAACTGGCGGGTGGGTCTGGCCGGCAGTGTGGTGGGACGGACTCGAGCAGGCTGGCGATCCAGGCACGTGAGCTGGTCTTTGGGCTGAGCGGCTACCGCTCTCTGGCTGGCTGGGAGCCCTTTTCTCCACACTGCTGAGCCTCCCCCTTCTCTCTGCAGGGCCTGTATCCACAGCGTGCAGCCAGGATGCCCTATCAGCAGGCCCTGCACCCCCAGCTGGGCTGTTATTCCCGACAGGTGAGTAGACAACCTGCCCACCTCTGTCCCAGCTCCACAAAGGCCTTCAAGTCAGAAGGACATCTGCTGCCTCGTCTTTATCCAGCTGGGCACTGGCCATATATTTCCCGGCCCGCCCTTAGCCCCAGAGAACAGGCACAGAGGCCAGTGTGCATGTGGAGACAAACCAGTGTCCCTTGGTGATAAGAGCTGGCACCTGCAGAGCCCTCACTGTGTGCCAGCCGTTCTCTACAGGCTTAACCTGCATAAACTAAGGGCAGGGCGCCTGGGTGGTTCAGTCGGTTGGGCATCCGACTGCAGCTCGGGTCATGATCGCGCAATTCATGAGTTCTAGCCCCACATCGGGCTCTACTGTCAGCACGGAGCCCGCTTTGGATCCCCTGTGCCCTTCTCTCTCTACCCCCACCCCCAGCGGCTCACGCAAGCATGCTAGCTCTCTCTCAAAAATAAATAAACTTTAAAAGAGAGAGAGAGAAAAAGATAAGGGCTTTACCTGCATGAACGTCACAACCACCCTATGAAATAGATTAAAGATGAGGACACTGAGGCACAGAGAGATTAAATAACTTGCGCAAGGTCACAAAGTTAACATACTAGTTAGCTTTTCCTGTGGCAACAGATGGCCTCAATACCTCAGAGGCTTTCAACAATAAATACTTATTTTTCACTCATAGGCCTCTGAGTTGGTTGAGCTGGGCTGGGGTTGGGTTCAAGCCTGTTTCATGTGACCTCCTTTTGGGATCAAGACATAGTAGCTTTGGCTCCTGCCACGTGGATGACCGGAGTGCCAGAGGGGTGAGCGGAAACACGTGATGCTTCCGAGCGCCTCAGCGTAGAGCCAGCACGTGGGATGTGCGCCTACCCGCTTTCCACTGGCCAAGGAAAATCACATGGGTTTGCCCAGCATCAGTGGGGCTGGGGACTCACACCCTTCCATGTCAGTTTGTCAGTTAAAATACGAGACACCCAGTTAAATTTCAGATAGATGGTGGGTAGAGTTTTAGTATAAGTTAGCTCCAAATATTGCATGGGCCACACCGATATTAAAAAATTATTTGCTGGGGCGCCTGGGTGGCGCAGTCGGTTAAGCGTCCGACTTCAGCCAGGTCACGATCTCGCGGTCCGTGAGTTCGAGCCCCGTGTCGGGCTCTGGGCTGATGGCTCAGAGCCTGGAGCCTGTTTCCGATTCTGTGTCTCCCTCTCTCTCTGCCCCTCCCCCGTTCATGCTCTGTCTCTCTCTGTCCCAAAAATAAATAAAACGTTGAAAAAAAAATTAAAAAAAAAAATTATTTGCTGTTCATCTGCAATTCAGATTTAGCTGGATACCTTTTTTTTTGTTTGTTTGCTAAATCTGGCACCCCTGCTTCCGTGGGTAGCGGATATGTGCTTAAAAATCACACGACGGCAAAATTGGGAGTTTGACCTTGGGCAGCTCAGCTTCAGAGTCCATGCTGCCAATGACCATGGTTTACTGCCTCTTGGACACAGATACACAAAAACACAGTATCAAAATAAAGCAGCAGAGACAAATGCAAACACACAGAGACACACATGAAGATATAGTCATATGCACGCCCCCAGGCTGCACACACAAGTGTGTTCAGAGAGACTGAGAGTCTTGGGGCAGCAACGGGGGTGTGAGGAGAGAAGCTAATACTGCTCTTCATCCCCAGGCTGGTCTTGGCCCCTCACACACAGGTGGACAGACCCCCCACCCCCCGACACACACACACACTCAGACTTACACTCCTTGGCTCTCCTTTCTCCCCCCAGGGAGCCCCACCCTTTCTCTGCAAACTGCCCCCCTGACCTGAAGTATGTTGGAATGTTCCAGAGGGTAGAGAAGGGCCCATAGGTAGATCCTACTTTATTAGCTGGGCCAGAACTGTTTCTCTAGCAGTAGGGAATCTGCATCCTGAAGAGGAACAGAGAGGAGACAGTCCGGCTCACAGAATCTCAGTCAGTCACCCCCACCCCACAAACAGTGATACCAACCACCTAGCCCCCACCTAGCTCCAAAGAGTTCGCACTGAGGCGACCTTCTGGGCGTGTGTGCATCTGAAAAAGTAATATAAGAACATGGTACAAAATTTTTAAAAATGTCAGAGTCACTGTTGCTGGTTCCTCAAGCATCTTTCCAGTGGTATCTATTTATACAAACATTTTGTACAAATGCCGCTTTCTGGGCACACTGTTCTAACATTAGTTTCGTCAGCAGAGAGTATCCTGGAGATGGTTCCAGAACGGCATACGTGGCCGTTTTTATGGTGTTTAGCTGTTACATGTAGTTAGGGTACCTTTCTAAAGAAAGTTTGTATCAGCTGTAGGACCCCCGTCTCCTCTCTCACGTCAGTTCCCTCCCAGGTCCGGGACTCCACCCACCACCCCCACCCCCAAGAAAACCAGGGGGATTTTCTGCCATTTTCTTGCAGGTGTCTGTCCTGGGAGGTGTCTTCCTGGGTTCTCTCTTTGAGCCCTTGACCCTTTCTGACTTTCAGCTTGTCATCTTCGGGTTTTGGTGCCCATGTCCAGCATCACCCAGTCCTGTGTATCCTCTGGGGGAGACATGGGGAGGGCCAGGACGGAGGAGCATACCTCCAGCCTCCAGAGGGAGCATGCGTGGAGGTGCGGTACAGCGGTGTGCCTTGGGGCTTCCCACTACAACTCTGACACCTTGAAGCACTTTACGACGCAAGGTCTTAACTTCTCTGAACCCCATTTCTTCATTCCTACAGTGGGAATAGTAATGGTCCTGCCTCCCAGGGCTGTTTGGAGTTTGAGTGAGAGAATCTGTATGAAGGGCTGGGCATGCCCTAAGCACTCAATAAACCCTAGCCTTTGTGAGTTTTTTTGTTTTTTGTTTTTTTTTAATGAGATAAGGATGTGCAGTGTTGGAGAGAGGGTTGTCTGTGTGCTGAATCCCTGAGCAGCTTGGACCCCAGACTCTTGCTTTCAAAGAGGAAGCCCAGAAGTTTCCCCAATTTTCCCTTCGGCACACAGGAGGATGGCTGTCCAAGAGAGAGTTTTCTGACGTTTGGAGCTGTCAGTAGTAGAACGTAGTGCTTAACATGTAATGAGATCCCCATCACTTTAGGTATTCAAGCAGACACTAAGTGGCCTCTTTTTTCCTCCCTCCTCTTCCTCTCTGTTTCTCTCTTGCACTCATTCATTTACTATATGTTTATTGAGCAGTTTCTGTGTGCCAGGCATTGTCTTAAGGCTGAGAAGATATCAGTAGATAAGACAGATAGGGTCCCTGGCGTGTCCGTTGGTGGGAGTCGGATCCAGGTAGTGTCTGAAACCCCACTGAGTTCCTAATTTTCTCCAGAGTGTGAGCTGAATCCCACTGCCTTTTTGTGCCCTTTCTCCCAGACTCACACTGTGCAGTACTGTAACCGCTAGCCACATGTGGCTATTTAAACTTAAGTCAATTAAAATTAAGTAAAGTTTAAAATTCAGTTCCTCATTCACAGCAGTCACATTTCAAGTAGTCAGTCAATAGCCACATGGGGCCGGCGGCTACCATACCGGGCAGTGCAGACACAGGACATCTCCATCACCTGTCACGGGCATTTCCACGGGGCAGGGCTGTCTTGCATTGGGAATCTGTTGAGATCCTGAGGTAGAGGCCAGGGACATCTAAATCTCAACAGCTTTTTTTTGACAGTAAAAGTAAGAGACAAGGGCTTTGGGGATGGTTATTGACAGAGGAACAGGTAGGGAGGTGGGGCAGAGAATGGGAATAAAATGTATGTACTATTTATTACGTGCCAGTCTCTTCACTTATATCAGCGGACTCAGGGGAGTCCGTTGGGGGAGGGGAGTGTTTGCCCATTCTACAGACGAGGAAACTGAGGCTCAGATAAATTAAGTACCTTGCCAGTCAGACACAGCAGCTGAGCCCTGTGCTTTTGCCATTTCAACACATTGCCTTCTGTATACCCACAATGAGTGAGGGGCAAGGGGCTGGGGGGAGGGGGGGGTGGCGCCTGGGATTAGGGTTGGGGTTAGAGCTGGGAACCGTGAGGTTTGGAAGCAGTGGGCTCTGCGGGACCCAGCCCCTCTCTCATCTCTGACCTGCAGGTGACACCGTACAATCCACAGCAGATGGGACAGCAGATTTTCCGCTCTTCCTACACCCCCCTGCTGGGCTACATCCCCTTTGTGCAGCCCAGCTATCCATACCCTCAGAGGACACCTCCAAAGCTCTCCGCCAATCCCCGAGACCCTTCCCCCATGGCAGGAGACGGGCCGCAGTACCTCGTCCCCCAGGCGTACGGGTGAGTCCTCAACTCGCACTGGGAGTCCACCTGGTACCCAGAAAGCTGCCGGGGAGGGGAGGCGAGTGCTCCGGGCCTCGCTGGTGTGTTCTTGGTACGTGCGTTCCATGGTTGACGGGAGGGAGGGGCCCTGTGCCTGTCAGGATGCTATGTGGGTCACGGACCGGTCCGGTGTGGAGGTGAGGCCGGTCTGGGGCCTGCCGGGCCCCTTCTGTAGGCCCATCGGGGGGCTGGGCCCCACAGTCTGGCTGCAGAAACGTAGCTGCAGAGCTGTAGTGGATGACGATGCACTGTCTATAGCAGGTGGCAGGTAGTGGAGCATAACACACCCGCCTTTACCTGTTTGCTTGGTTTACAACAGGACACGGCCAGGCGATCTTCTTACAGCTTTCTCCCCCCACTTCCTGCACCCTGAGCTCCTTCCCAGGCTAATCTCTCCAACATCCTGTTGACTTTGTAACAGGCCTGCTGAAGGGGCTTCCATTGCTTATCAGGGCTCCTCACGCTTCTCCTCCGAAGTGCCCCAAACGGCAGATGAGAAGGATTTAACCGCAAGCAGCCAACGCAAACTCAACATTTTGGCCGAAAATTCCACACACATTTTACCTGCTGGTCAGCCATAAAGTTATGTTTGTTGTTTTAAGATGACAGCACACGGCCGCTCATTCCCACCCACCAAATCTTCAACTAACATTCGTGCTCAGGAAAGGGAGATGGGAAAAGTGAGGCAAGGTGGGGGCAGGCCCCGGTCTCCCCAGAGGGGCGATTTGGTCATTCAGAAGGTGTTTATTGAGGACCTCGTGTGTGCCTGGCACTGTCCTAGGCAGTGGTTCCTGGAGGGAACAAGGCAAAGGTTTTCCTTCTCTCATTCCAGCGGAAGAAGTAGACAATTCCGAAATAAACAAGCAGCTCACGTGTCAGGGGCCAGAGGTTAGGAGAGAGAGAATGAAGGGATGTCTCCTGAGCAGAGATCTAAATGAAATGAGGGATTATATATAGGTGATGAGCTCTCTGGGCAGAAATACAAAGCGCAGTGGCCCTGAGGTAGGAAGTGTTCCTGGAGCATAGCGCGTAGGAGAGGGAGTGGGTGGGATTGGAATCAGAGAGGATGCAGGGCCAAACTAGATGGGGCCTGGTGGGCATGGTGAGGAGTTTTAAGAGCAGTGGGAAGCCATTAACGCTTTTAACCTTTGGAGGACGTATTCTAATTCTCCGTCTAAAGAAGAGGACGTTGGCCAATGTATGAAGCCTGGACCACGGGCCAAGAGCTGGTGCAGGGGAGCAGGATAGGAGCCCTGACAGCTGTCGGAGTAAGAGGTGCTGGCGGTGTGGACTAGGGCAGAGACCGTGGGAAGGAGATAAGTGAAAAGATCTGGAGTATTTATTTTCTTGGTTGAATTGACAGGACTTGATGATGCAGGATGTGGAAGGAGGGAAAGAGAGAAGCCAAGCATGATTCTTCAGTTTTTGATTTGAACAAGTGGAAATGCCAAAATACTAAGGTCAAAATGACTCTTAAAGACGGGTCTGTCGATGCAGTTTGGTTTTGGATATGCAAAATTTGAGAGGCCCGTTACACATATGAGTGGGGCTGTTGACAGGCAGGTGAATGTGTGGGTCTGGGGCTCAAGGGAGAGGCTGGGGTTGGCAATATAAATTCGGGAGTCATTAGCATATAGATGATATTTAAAGGCACGGGGTGGGATGAGATCGCCCAGGGAGTATGTGTGCATCGAGAGGAGATGAGGCCCAAGGACTGAGCCCTAGGCCTCCTACAGGTAGGGAGGTTGGGGAGTTGTGGAGGACGCCGCAGAGGCTCTAAGAGGGAGCGTTAGTGAGGTGGGTGAAGGAATAGGTGAGGGTGGAGTATAGGAGGCCAGGGAGGAGGTGTTTCCTGGAGGGGAGAGGGAAGGATCACAGAGCAACGTGAGCACGTGGGCTAGGATGCAGGGAGTGCCGGGCAGGGCCGTGGTGTCTGGGGTTCCCAGTCATCTGGGCGGAACAGGTCTAGGAGAGGCGGCGCTGGGCAGGAAGCATGCAGGGGCCCTGGGGGAGAGTGTAGTCCGGGTAGTTCGGGAGACAAGTAGCGTCAGGAGCAAAGAAGCGAACCAAGAGACTAAACCATATGGAGAGGGAGAGGAAGGAGCAGGTGGCTGTCAGGGAAGGAGGAGCCGAGCGGTCCCCTCCCTTTGCCACATCAGTTTGCATGCATTCATCGGGGTAGGATAACCACATGGTTTATCTTCCAAACAACAATAAGTTTGAGAGTTAAAAGGAGCACAAAGAATAATCACACTGGAAATGCCAGTGTAGAGACTGTTGCAGGCAAACCAGGACAATTGGCCATGTGCAAGGTAGTTCAAGCTCCTCCTCTTCCTCCAGGAATCACTCCTGGATCACTCTAGTCCATGGGGATTACCTCTCCTCCTGGCTCTCTAATGAACGTCCTGTCCAAACCATGCCCTTGACAATTGAACCCATTGAAAGTTCCCAACCTGGGTGGCCTAGATTCATGGGGCGTGGCAATCCGATATGAGGTGTGTCCTGAGTAATTTGTTACCAGTAATTATGAAATGCTGAAGTACGGGCTATGTATGATCTTTTTGTAAATCAGAGTGGAATCCAGTGTATCCCTATAATATCACTTTCCATCATTTCTTTTCCAATGTGATTTTTGGAAGAGAGAAAAAAGGGTGGGGTTGGGGGGGTTAGAGCCAGCATAATTGTTTATGAGGCATCTCCCTTGTGCCAGGTCGTGGGCTGGGCCCTGGGCATAAAGTGGCAAATAGTCCAGATAAGGTCCCTGCTCTCCTGGAATTTATTTAATGAAAGGGGAATCTAACTAACCCAAAGCCTTGCTTGCCCATGACACTGTGAGCGAGAGATCTGGGTACCAGCTGAGGCATTACAAATTAATGCGGTGGCTTGTTCCCATTCCTTCTTCCCTCCCCCACCCCCTCCCTCTTCTCCTTTCATTAATTCATGGGAGGGTGTGGTGAACGTGAACGTCTTCTGTAATATGCATCTGCCCAGCTGAAAAGGGACCGAGAATCCCTGGATTAGACTAAATCTAGCCATTTGTTCCGCTGCGATTTGTACTGATCTCCGTTCCCATTCATTCCAAGTATCCTAGCAGATGGGTGAAAAAATTGCTGTAGGATCCCAGAAGTGTGAGTAAATGATTCCATCTGGAGAGGTCAGGGAAGGGGTCACGGAGGAGATGGCTTCTGAACTCTCTTCTGAAGTATGAACGGGAGTGTGGTGCGGGGAGAAAAAGTGGTCTGCGCTTGGAAGGTGAGGCTCAAATACTCTCGGCTTTTCCTTCCCTGCTGGTCTAAGCGAAGTCCCAGGCACTCAGTGACGTCTCAGTGCTTATTCCTCGCACTGGTGTTGAAACGGAAAGCCTGATCTTGTTTGGTGTTGATAAGGGGTCAGGGAGCCCTGGGATGGTCCAGACTCTGGGGTCTCCCACTGGGACGTGGCCCTGAGTTCCGTGGTGTGGTGGCATTCCTGAAGGACACACCTGGGTCCTCTAAGGCAGGTAGAATGGCTTTAGGCCCACAGGTAGGGTGCTCAGATCCGGAGAGGCTCCCTGCTGTGTGGTCCTGGAGATTGGGGGAGCACTGGCCCCAGAGAGGCAGTCCCTTACAGGCTGCCAGGGGCTCCTTGCCTTAAGGAAGTGGCAGAAGAAGCTCTTTATTGCCCTCCAATTGGGTCATTTTAATATTTTATTTTCCCAGAGCCAAAGCTTTTTTTTTTTTTATGCTAACGCGTTTAGCCTTCAAGCCTGTCATGATCTACCCAGTCCTTGACAGCCACAAAATTAATGTATTACTTTTTCTAATATCTCTGCTAACATCAGGAGTTTCATCATGACACTGTATTCTCTCTCTTCCAGGTTTGGCTCGACGGCTGGTGGGCCCTTGATGAATAGCCCCTATTTTTCCTCCAGTGGGAATGGCATAAATTTTTAGATGGTCTTCTCTTCTCCCCCCTCCTACCTTAGCCCTTGGGTCAGGGCTAAGGGCTCTGGAATTCTGGATTCTGTAATAGCAGCGTGGCATGAAGTTGGAGAAGCCAAGGCTCCGACCAGGTCATAGACAGAAAACAACAAGACCAGACTCATCTGTTGACCAGCTCTCTCACACACATAGCCCCCCTCACACACACCACCCGCCACACATGCACCTCCCTCCTATTCACACTCATCTGCTCAGCCATCTATGCACCTGTATTTAGCTGACATGAGTGATTTTTTGTTTTTGTTGTTGTTGGTAAAATAGAAATAAGACACTTAATTTTAGAACGTTTGTATTTTATGATAAAAGTGAGAGCTGCTTGAAATGGAGTGTGCCTATTTATTTTTGTGATGTTCTGTGTTCTCTCCACTGCTCATTTCTCCCACGCACGAGACACAGCGTTCACCCAGAACATGACAAGAAACCACAGGCTGGAGTCCTCAAAGTGCTGCTGTCTAAATACAGGAGCCCAGGGATCATAAACTGAAGGGCTTACTCTTCTCTTCGGTGACCCACTCACTTCTCAACATCCCAACTGATGTATCTCAGGAGTGGACATAAAAGAAGGACACCCTGCTCAGGTGGCTGCTTTACAGAAAAAGTCTCTCTTGGACACAAGATGGGGAAATTTGATCTGGAAATCAATTCCAAAAATAATCCTAAATGTGACGGACTATATCCAGAGATTGTCTATCAATGCCAAGCCCCAGGCCAATGACAAAACTGAACCTGATGGCACTGCCCTTTGATCTGTCTCGATCAGCTTTTATCAGTGACTTGAATAAGGGTGTTGAGAGCATCCTGACCACACATGTGGAGGACACAGTTCTGGGAAGAGATGATGGTCTCATCTGGCAATAGCACACATACTAAACTCCCCCATACCCATGGCAGGTGGCATCGCTAAGCAGCGGTTCCCCTCGACCTGACAAAAGCCACAGCATCATTTTCCCCATGGTGGTTCAGGGGGCCATCCCTGATCAGGGATGGTCTGTGAAATGGAATCCCTGGATCATCCTTTAGAAAACTCTAACAAGATGACATTAAAGAGAGTTAATTTAGGGACCTACATTTGGGTCAAAAAAAAAAAAAAAATGAGCTATGCACGTATGAGACAGGCCAACAGTATCAGTTATAAGTTACTCTATTACCAATCTTATTAGTTACCTGAAAGCTCAACCCCACCCTGGCTGAGCCCAATCCTGACAGCAATGACAGGTCGGGGTCTGGAAGTCACCGATGTCTTGGGGCAGCCTTGGCCCCGTGCTTACAAGAGCATGACTCTTGACCTTACAGGGTGACACCATTAGCCTCACTAGCCTTTCCTGTTGGGAACCTGGAAATCAATTTATCTTCTAAGTTCTCTTAGGACTTAGGCCCTCTCCCTTTTCTGTGGCCTGAGTCTTGGATTCCTTCTGAGTTCATTAGCCCCTTTCCCCAAGGCTGGACACTATTTTTAGTATATATATTTTTTCCTTTGGCTAACAGTCTAGATTTGCCATGGACTCTGAAAGACACTAGTTGCCAAGGAGTTCTGACAAACTCAGGACCCCTTTTCTGAAGGGCTTCTTGGCATTGTATCTCCAGGTATTAACCACAAGTTGGACCATCATTTACCACCCTCTCTTGATCTTAGGGTGTTTGGAGATAGAAGAGAGTAAGAGAAAAAGCATTGATTTGCCTTTGGCGAGACCTGGGTTCTAAGCCACTTTCCGACATTGACCTTGGGCGGAGAATTTAACTTCTCTAAACCTCAGCTCTATGAATGGCTATGTGAATAGTTGTGGGGATTAAAAGAGAATGTAGACTTAATATAGATTTATGTCTACTTAATGCAGACATGTGATTTTACAATGGTGGAGTGAAGATGTTTCTGTCCCTCTTCTCTTGAAATCGCCCCCTAAATAGCAAGAACAAGAAAACCCATATGAACTCCATTCTCAGTGAAACTAGGAGAAGCCAGCAATCCCATCCACTATATACGGAAGCAGAAATGGGATAGAGGAATAGTAAATGCCTCAGTGGAACAGGGGAAGATCATCTTGAGATGCCCACTGAAGGACACTGATCAACAAGAAGCAAACGATTTTCTTCTCAGTAGAGGTCTCAGTAGGAGTCCGGTACTGGACACCGTGAAAGGTGGGCTGGAGAGGGTTGAAAGTGAGGATGTGATGCAGAAAGTAGGTTCTATCTTGACCACACAAAGCGAGGGGCCATGGATAGCATGTATAGCAGACAGGAGGCATTTTTTCTGGGGAAACTTGGACGCCATGCATAAGGATTGTGGAATTGAGAGTCCAGATTTAAAATGGGGATTAAGCAAAATATACATACCCACCTAATGCCAGCACCTAGATTTTAACCAAGAGGCAAGGGTTTGGGAGATCCTCTGGAGAAGCTGAACTGACCCAAAAACACTTGAAGGCACCAATAAAAATTATCCTATGATTATGTCCATCACAAAAGCTGCAAATCAACTTTTAACGACCTGAGTGTTTTAATTAATTAATGAGAGCATGCACAAGTGGGGGAGGGACAGAGAGAGAGGGGGAGAGAGAGAATCTTAAGCAGGCTCTGTGCCCATCACAGAGCCTGATGCAGGGCTTGATCTCATGACTGTGAGATCATGACCTGAGCCAAAATCAGGAGTCAGACGCTTAACCGACTGAGCCACCCAGGCTTCCAAAAGACCTGAGTCTTAATAGGAATAGGCAATCCCCAACAAGAAAGAAATGGATCAAAACAAAGGTAAAAAGGAACCAAAAAAGAGACAGACCATAATATTCTTGGGGAGATAAGATAGTACATTTAGAAAATAAGACAATATGCTGTATACTTATTTTTAAAAATCAGAACAAGAAAGTGCTTTTGAAATTAAAGCAGTGATAGTTGATATTTTTTAGCAAAGAAAGTTGGAAGCTAACATCAGAGAGATCTCATGGAAAAGAGAACTAAAAAAAGGCACAGGGATGGATTATAGGAGATAAAACATGAGAAAATGAGAGGATCAATCCAGGACACCAGATATCTGGCTAACAAGAGTTCTAGGCAGAATAGTGAAGATAAAGGGGAAGGTAGTATTAGCAGAAAAGCACAAGAAAATTTCCCGGATATAATGGCCCAGACCAGTGTTCAGCAAAATGAATTAAAAAGATCTAACCCCCCCAGGCATATCACTGTAAAATTTTAGAATATCAGGGATAAAGGTAGGAGTCTCATTTCAGAAAAGCCCGCTCACATACAAATGTGCAAGAATCAGAACGGGATCAGATTTCTCAACAGTAATATGGTGAACTTAGAAGATCCCAGGACAAAGCTGCCATTACTTAGATCAGAAATGATCTTTGACCTAGAATTTTAAAACTCAATTTTTATCTGTAAACATAGAATGGAGGTGTTTTCAGACATGCAAATCTCAAAAATGTTACCTCTTTGCCCCTTTGTCAACAAATTAAGGGAGGATGTTCTCCACTAAGACAAGTAGATAAGCCGAAAAAGGCACAGAATGTGGGAAGCAAGTATCCAATGGAACGTGAGCAGGAGGGAGGCTAAGGAGGCATCTGTGGTGATAAAAGAGGAAGGTCTCAGCTCAAAACCATGTGGCAGAGCCTGGGAAGCCACTACCACCCATCCAGCAGGAAGCTGGAGACCTAAGGAGGTATGTCTACAGTGGGCCCTAGGGGCTGGAGAAAAATGCCAGATTATCCTGACAGAGTTGACCGTGTAGAAAATTGTGCTGAGAGTTGTTTTATAGCGGTTGGTGGGGGTGGGAAGACATAGCTGTAAATTCAAGTGGAAAATGAAACAATTGTTAACTTGGCAGTGGACAATATTTACGTGGTCATAATAATAAAAAGCTCCAATATAGACTGCATCAAAAATTGTTTATAACTGTAGTGAAAGGGTGGAGGTGAGAAGAGACGTGTGAATAAAGCGAAAATCCTCACTTACCATAAGAGGAAGTCAGTAGGTAATGTCTAAAATCGATGATTCCAGAGAGTAGAATACACATAATTATCAAGAAATGTGGAGGTAAATCCCAAAATAAAGAGCCAAAAGAGTTGAAGGAGTCGCCTATGAGAAGTAGAATGGGTTTGGGAGGGATGGAGGTACAGGAGTCCTTGCCTCGTTCATGACTTTTTAGCACCAGTTAGCTTTTAGACTATGTGCATAAAAGTAAGCATTTATTAAGAAGAGAAACTGTATATAGAACACCATTTAACAGAGTGCCTGGCACATGCTGGGTGTCAAAAATGCTTGTTGAATTGTATTGAGCTGCATTCTGACACAGACCCGCTGTCCAAGCCTTCATTCCAGGATGTCTGAGAGTCAGATTTCCAGAAGTCCCCAGGAATATTTTTTCCCTAAGAAATTTATCAGGAGGAGACAGTTAAGGGAGGGCTGCAGCCAATGCCCAATGCCTTTCCAGTGCGTTGCACTCCCTGACTCTGCTCACCTCTCAGGGAATTCTAGAAATGGTTGGGAATGGGGGAAAGGGAGACTGAGTGCTTGCCCTGATTTGGACAGTGAGGTCTGAAGAGGGTTGAAAACTCCCAGCTCTTCTCTGTGTCCCTTCCAACCAGCTCTCCATCCCATTCATCTAGCACATACTCACTGAGACTCTTAGGGATGTGCAGTGAGACGGACACAGTGCCTGCCCCCCTGTGTTATAAGCTTAGACATTAAATCACAGTTACTGCAAAAAGTAATGAAGTTATTATGGGGATATATGAGAGCACATAGCAGGATGCCCACCCTAGTTGAGAGTGTTAGATCACTCTGTTAGTGATCACTCTTTTAGTATTTCTGGTTTGTGCATCTGATTCTCATCTGATATGTTCTCAAATTCTAATCCCCAATCCCCTATCTCAGAACATTTATTTGCAAATCTCAAAACTAATGATAGTCCGTGTGGGGTTTAAGCAACAAAGTTGAGGAGTAGCATGTTTTTGTGG